ACCTCTTCATTGCTCATTCAACTTCCACTCCTCCTTCACAACCGAGTGCCAATTTAAGCACATGCGACCCTCTTTGAGAATTGCAGCAGAACCCCCATCGTTGAAGTTCACACCAACTATTGGTTCACACTGACCCAACCCCTGCCTTCACTTTTGCTCAGGACCGATTCTGCCCCTAAGAGTCTGTTTCAGTTTGATCTGCTGATTTCAGTTCGATATGCTGTGTGAAAATGGTAAATCGGTGAAGAACAGCATTTCCGTCCAAATGTTCAGTGTTCTTCTTGGAGCGATGGTCAGTGGCCAACTCAGTGATCGATATGGAAGAAAACCGGTAACGAATTCACTGAGGCTAAGAGCTTTTTTTGAATGTGTGCGTGTTCAATGCAAAGAACTGGTGAAAATTGGATTTGCTTTCAGGTTCTCATCATCTCTATTTTCGGAATGGGTGTGTTTTCACTGGCTACAGCGTTGTCAGGGACATTTCTACAGTTCAATGTACTTCGCGCTATCATAGGAATATTTACGGGCGGTCTGAGCTCGTAAGTTCTCAAAATGAACCTATTATGGGATGTCCAAGACTTGGACATTGATGGGCGGAAGTGGTGTAGTGGCAAGTGGCACGCTTACCACGCGAGCGGTCCGGGGATCAAATCCTGGGTCGTGAGTCGCCCGGGCCAACCAAGCCTTCCATCCCTCCGGGGTCGGTTAATTGGTACCAGACTTGTCTGGGAGGATAAAAACACTGACTTGTACATCGGCTGGCCCCGCAAGTCATTGTATAGGCCACATCGCATTCAAACGCCACTACGAATGTACAAATGGAAGTAGAATGCGTGCCGCATCCCAAAAAGGGATTGATCAACGGCAAATGCTTTATCCTTTCACTTTAAGAGAGTCTCGCGTGAACCAATAGTTATATAGAATATCAACTACATATGTGTACACACAAATCCTCACTCCGCTGATAGGGGACAAGCCCTCAAGTCAGATCGCTTTTTTAAAAATGGTTTGCTGCATGTTATAGAGGGCGCACGTCTGGCATAAAGCTGATGAGTTCGTTTCTTGAGTGGCCTCGGAATTGCCGAAAAAAAGGCAGAAAGTTTCTCTCAAAAACTTTCCTTTATTGGTGGTTATTCCGTCACTGCCTTATAGATACCCGCGTATTAATTTTGCTTTGAAGTCTGGGCACCATTCACCCATGGGTGAACTTATTTTATAAGCAGCAGTAGGAAAGCGACACTTGAAGAACATTTTAGAAACGCTGCGCATAAAAGCGAACGAGTAACCCAACAAAGGGACCGGTCTCACGAGAACTCCCCCAAGATCCTGCACTATTACCGCTGCATTCTGCGACTTCATAGCTGTTTCAAGAGAATTGAAATCGACGTTCAAAGGTGCATATAAGAGTATACATACACCTCATCTGGAACGATTACGACGACCCATAGTCCTTTCCTTAATCGGTACCGATACAAGGATCCATTATCAGGGCGAGCATCGAGAAACGGACCATCTTATCCTATTCCCTCTACTGCTCTCCAGCTGCTATTGCAGCATCATGTGGAATGAATGAGACCATGCTCAGTAGGTGTTTATATAGCCGTTGGGGTGTTATCACATTGATAGCACTGCAAAACATTGATTGCTAAAGTCATAGTTACTCGATTTTGTTAACGGTCTGTTTACTTCACGAGTTTCCCTACCACTTCATTTTGCGGACGGACACACAGACATACATACATACATACATACATACAGGGGCCAATAAAAAAAGACATTTTGTCTCCACTTTCAGATGGATTTGATCA